GCCAGAGCCGGCTGAGCGGAGGGAGCAGGCGGGTTGGTAGGGGGTTAGGAGGTCGCAGAAGTAGGGTGGGGCGAGGTCAAGGAGGGTTTTGTAGGTGTGGAACCAGGATCTTGAACGGTATCCTCTGAAGGATAGGGAGCCAATGGAGTCAGGCGAGAATGGGGGAGATGGGGTCACGGAGTTTGGTGCGGGAGAGGAAACGGGCTGCAGAGTTCTGGATTATTGGAGGGAGGAGTTGGGAAGGCCGACACGCAGGGAGTTTGCGTAGTCGAGCCTGGAGGTGATGAAGGCATGAACAAGAGTTTCAGCGCCTGAGGGGTGAGGTAGTGGTGGAGTCGGGCGATGTTACGGAGGTGAGGGAAGGCAGAGCGGGTCATGCCTTGGATGTGGGGGAGAAAAGACAATTGAGGGTTGAAGAGGACACCCAGGTTCCTGACTGGCTGGTGAGTTGAAGTGTGCAACCATGGAGGTTGATGCTGCCAGAGCCTGAGGTGCAGAGGCGTTGGCGAGAGACAATCAGGAGGTCCTCAGTCTTGTTCACGTTCAACTTTAGGAAATTTGCCCTCATCCAGGACTTGATGTCCGACAGGCAGTCTGTCAGGACAGCAGTGGGACCTGGAGTTGAGGATTGAGGCAGAAAGAGTTGTGTGTCATCCCCATACATATGGAAGTTGACCCCATATCTGCGGATGATGTCACCAAGGGGGAGCATGTAGATATTAAAGAGGAGACCAGGACAGAGCCCTGGGGGACGCCAGACGTGACAGTGCGGGGACTGGAGGAGAAACCATTAGAGGCAACAATATGGAGACGGTAGAGAGATAGGAATCGATCCAGGCAAAGGCAGGTCTGCAAAGATTAAATAAAGAGGAGAGGCGGTGTATGAGGATGGAGGCCAAGGAGGCAGAGGGAGCCCTGATCACAGATGTTCAGAATGTCATTAGTGACTGTGACCAGGGCTGTTTCTGTGCTGTGGCCAGTGCGGAAGCCGTATTGGAGTGGTTCAAAGAGAGAATGGCGAGAGAGAAAGGAGCAGAGCTGGGACGCGACGACTCATTCCAGGACCTTGGAGAGGAATGGGAGGTTAGAGATGGGGCGGTAGCTGGAGAAGAGGGATAGGTCCAGGGAAGGTTTTTTCAGGATGGGGGCAGTGATGGCTGTTTTTAGGGGGGTGGGAACTGAACCGGTGTATAAGGAACTGGACAACTGAGACCCTCTCAGAGGACAGATTTGATTCCAATATTGTTATGCATATCATCATAGAGGCAGCTCAGCTCCAAGTAGCCCCAGCTTATCTCTCACAACCCCACAACCACCCACCCCGCTGACCCCCAAGTGGAAAGATTGGGCAATTGGACGGGTATCATTATAGAATTATACAGCATAGCACAGCACAGAAGGAGGCCATTCAGCCCACCCTGTCTGTGCTGGGTAGTTAGATGTGCTGGTTTAGATGGTCTGAACCTCACTGAATGGTTACTATCTTACACAGGGTGAGTGGGTTCCTTTGTCGTTGAAGTGCCTGGCATTGGAATATCAGATTTGAGTCAAACCTCAGTGCTGGTCTCTAGTCTGGTTCCTGATCCAGGTGGGACCGGGGTAGGGGTATTGCAGGGCACTACTGCTAACAGCACAGCCTCATCTGCTGTGGGCGAAACGTGGCAGCCAATTGCACACGGCAGGTCCCACAAACAGTCGTGGATTGAGAGACCACATTAATATCATATTTTATTTATTTAGCTATTGATTTACTTATTTACTCTTTTTTTGAAGGAATTATTACCCCCAGGAAAGCGATCCGCCAATCGACTAACAACCAGATTCCTACTTCCTGCTGGGTAAACAGAGGCGTGTGTGTGCGGGAGTCAGGAAACTTGCCCAACGTTTCACCCTGTATTCGAGTACAGACAGTGACATGGATACATTGCTCGAGGGATCAATATAATAATAAATCAAAATCTATGGATTGTTACACAGCCTGCCAGGGACTGAGCACAGAGGTGGCTCTCTGCTGCACCTTGTTCTCATCGGGGGTGAAGAGAACCCTGAATGTGGTGACCATGCCAGGCGCCACCTTCTGACCCACATCACTGGGGCTGATCAGCCGGAAGTACGGAGAATCCTCCTGGATCACCTTCACCATTCGTGGAATCTGCGGACAGAAAGCATCTCGTTACCCACAGCACTGCTAACCACAGCCCCCAGTGTGAAGTTTGTGGTGAGTAGGTGGGGAATACCTTTACAGGTGGCCTCAGACCAAGGGTTGCACTTTACAGGTAAAATTTTCTCGGAAATGCAAATCATGCTGGGAATCAAACAGAAATTGCACATCTCACAGCACCTCCAGTCTTCAGGAGTGGTGCAGCGGGGAAATCGGACCTTGAAGACATTGATTAAGAAATTCTGTGCAGATCACCCAGCGCAGTGGACTGAAATGCTGCCTATAATAATAATAATAATCCTTGCATTGCGTTTTTCACGTCTTCTAGACGTCTCAAAGCGTTTCACAAAATTGACTGTATATTTCTGCGCGAAATGTGGCAGCCAATTGAAATGACCAACTTTTTTTGAGGGATTATTATCAGGCGTGTGGAGTGAGGAAACTTGCCCAAGGTTTCATTCTGCCAGGAATCGAACCCATATCTCTCGCTTGCAAAGTGAGTGCTCTAACCACTGAGCTACAGGACTCCACTATGTGTTTGATGGTTATGAGAAATGCCATTCACTCCACAACTGGCATTTCTCCCCATCAGGCAATGACGGCGAGAGCCATGGTGTCACCTGGTGAAATGATATTTCCCAGGAGGACACCCATACAAACCAGCGCCTTAACTGGGTGATAGAAATGAGGGACCTTATACAGGTTACTAATCAATTTGTTGCAACAAACAGTGGACAATCCAAGGAAAATATGAAATGATGCATTGACAAAAAAATTAAACCAACAGAGTACCAGGTTGGTGATTCAGTAACGGTACTGGATTATGGGAAAAGGGAGGACTCATTCAGTTCCAAGTACAAAGGGCCTTTTCCCATCATTGATAAAGCCAGCCCCTCAGTTTACCTACCACAATACCATAACTAAACCAAGAAATATGCCCGTTGGCATCACATCAATCAGTGGAAAGTGTATAATAACAGATATTATGCTTGTTCTATCAGGATGCACCATAGGTCAATACCATCACAATACCACCAACATCCAGATGGTGGCAAACAGTTTACAATGTTGGACAGCACCCTATGTTACAGCTTTTATCACAATTGTTTGTTATTGTTCAAATTGTAATACTCATTGCATTGATAATTGCAGTAAGATGATTCGCTCTCTTGTTCACTGTCTACAAGAACAGAACAGCAATCCCACATGGATCTGGTCTTGTTTATTAGCAGGCTGTGTATTTCTAAACAATTTTTTAATATATTACTATTCAATTTTTTTTGTGTGTGTTACTAACCAAAGTTTTTTTTGAGAGATTAGAAACCTCACAGTTCCTTCACTGTCAAGGTAGGGACTGTAAATAGTTGGGATTATAGTATAAGAATCATTAGTATTGATCATGGAATGAAATAGATGAATTAAGTAAAATGAATTAAAGAAATAAAAACTGTCATGTAACAACCACACACACACCCACACACACACCCACACACACCCCCACACAGAGTCCTAGTAAAGGCACACCGAGCTACGAGGAGTACACTGGATCCGGAGGATGGATGGTAGGCCATCTGCGCTTACAAGGGCATGTGACCTGCGGGAGGGGAGATAGGAACCCGGGATAATTGGGCCAGGAGAATGGATGGGATACAAACTTGTCATTAATACTGAGAAAAAACTTAAAGTGAATAGGTCACAAGGACAGAGTTAGACCCCGGGATCCTAAACTGTGAAGTGCTCTGAGACGCCGTCCAGCATGGAGGGCGCTATATAAATCCAAGTTGTTGTTGTTGTTGTTGTAGAAAGAAGGACTGAAACATCAAGGCCATGGAGTCAGGTGATTTGGTTGGGCTGGATAAGATGGAATAGGAGAAGTATTGTTCTTTTTCAGAAGATACCCTCGCTGGTACAAGGGGAAACAACTTGAAAGTAGGGAAAGAATGCCTGGGAAAAGTCAGAGAGTGGAAAAGAAGTCATGCAAAAAAAGTTAGAACACAAGATGGCTGGTGAAAAAGGGTATAAAAATCAATATCCAAAACTAGTTTTTTTGGAGCCTCTGAGGAGAGGAAGGGGATGAACGGAGAGGAAGAAGAGTGCCTTTGAGGGAAAGAGGACAAGTCCAGCTCTCGCCGGAGTGGACCACCAAGAGACATTGCAGCTAGAAGCAAGCCAGAGACAGTGTTTAATTTTTGTGCCATCCTTAGAACCTCGTCATGATTTCCTGCCTGCTTGGTAGTATCTCTCCTACTGACTAAAACGCGCACCCACATACCTTAAAAACAGTTAGAGATTATTTAGGCACATTTCATATAACACATTTTTTTATATGTTTAGAATTTTAATATTGAGTGTATCTTGTTAAGATAGTGCTTTAGTTGTCATTTAAGCGCAACGAGTAATGATAATGCATCAGGTGTAATGTGTTGCTTGTGTGGTTTTATAATTGCTAATAAAACACTTTAATAAAATCCTTGGTGTGGTTTCTGACAAACGCTTGAGGTCCCTTTTGTTCGGGCAGACAGTATTGCCGTATTCGCTCTTAGTCTCGTGACCAAGACACTTGTCTGTCCCTTCGTGGTCGTCAAATTGGTGAAATTGGGTTCAAGCATTTGTCTGAAACCACAACAAGGATATTATTAGTTAGGACAGGATTTGTTTTAGTCAGTAGGAGAGATACTATCAAGCAGGCAGGAAATCGTGACGAAGTTCGAAGGCTGGCACAAAAGATAAACACTGTCTCTGGCTTGCTTCTAGCTGCAAACGTCCTTTGGTGGTCCACTTCAGCAAGGACTGAACTTGTCCTCTTTGAGGTCCACTCCGGCGAGAGCTGGACTTGTCCTCTTTCCTTCAAAGGGCCACTCTTCTTCCTCTCTGTAGAGGTTCATCCCCTTCCTCTCCTCAGAGGTGTGGGTGTATGTGGGTGGCCGTGTGTGTGTGTATGTGGGGGGGGGGGGGTGTGTGGGTGTCACATGGCAGTTTTTATTTCTTTAATTCATTCTACTTAATTCATCTATTCACTACATGATCAATACTAATGATTCTTATACTATAATCCCAACTATTTAAACCAGTACATTGGGAAATAAACTCCCAACAATTACAACAACAACTTATACACAGCGTCCTTAGGAACATAAGAATTTGCTGGTGAAAGAAGACCAAGATCCATCTAGCTCACCTTTCATCATCCTGGCAGTCGCTTGACATGTCGTGCCCCAAACTATAGACTGTATTAGCCCCAGATATTATTTTCTAGCGGAAATTGATCTAATTTATTCTTAAAAACAAATGACATTTTCTGCTTCCACCGTCTGTCTCTCTGTCTCCCTCAGGAGTCTATTCCATACGTTTACTATTCGCTCACTCACTTGTATAGGGTAGGGTCACGTTTTGGAGCCTTGGACAGTGACAGGATTGGACACCAAGCAAGGCAGAGGGAAGAGGGAGACGAGACAAGTGACCATAGAGGTAGGTTTGAGGCTGGAGAGCATGGGAGTTGGGGGGAAATGAGGGGGGAAGCAAACATGATATACAGGGTTGTGAGCTTTCTGTTCTGAGTAGCAATCACTTATCAAGAGAAACAAATTTGTTTCATAATGATAATAATAATCCTTTCATTTGATACAGGAGGACGTCCCAAAGCGCTTCACAGATATATCAGCAGCCATTGTCAGTGGCTCGGTGATACTGTGGTTTAAACGCTCATGACATGAGTCTCTGAGCACAGCTACACACGCAACAGTTGGGAGGATGAGGAGCTCTTTATTCCAAGCTCATTAAGGTTTTATGTGAAATGTGCCTGGCATTTTCAGCCCAGTCTCAGTAAATAACAGTCATTGGCACAACATTATCATTGAGGCCAGAATGTCAGTTCTGCATTTCATTATCAGTCTTGCTGATCCTCACTTAATGAAAACAGAACAAACACACGTACGCAGTGAATGGGAGCTTTCACAAACGCACTAGTGAAGGGCTGGCATTTATTTTAAAACGACTGGTTTGAACAAGTCTGTTGTGTCAGATTGCTCAGCACACGTTCACTGCTTGTCCCGACTCCTCTCCTCCATCAGCTCCCGAAATAATAACCATCACTTGTTTTTGTTGTGATCTTAAGATGACGATAAAAATGTTAAGCACGTTAAGTGTTCTTACACTGATTATCTGGAGCTGAACTAATCTGAGTGTAAGAGGTGTCACTGGTTTAACACTGGATAAAATGGTAACAAAGGGATGAGAAAATGCCACCAGACTGAGTTGGTATTATAAATAATAATAATCCTGCATTTGATACAGCGCCTTATCACGTCTTCAAGACATCTCAAAGCGTTTCAAGGATATACTGTAAAGTGAGTTGACTGTATATTTTGTGGTAAAGACCGCTATACAAGTGTAATCTGTTGTTGTTGTTGTTGTTTAATTGGTAGATTGTAGGTCAACCAAGGTGAGGGGAAGTCTGGGAGAAAGGTGGTCCTGACAAACAACTCAACTGCTTCACCATGGCAGACTGATCAGAGAATAATGGCCATTTAATGATCTGATCCCAAACAGGCACAGATTGCTGACGTACAGCCTTGGTTGAAAGAAAATCAAAGGTATAAAGGCCGCAGGTCCACTGAGCAGTTTGCTTGCCACTCCCTCACCCCTGAGATCAAACATTTCCCTCCCGAGGTTCACAAGAGGGTCAGACACAGAGTCTCATTTGATGAGACTGAGGAGGAGGAGAGGGAATGTAGTTACACATTGATAAAATCACGTTCACTATAAACCATCTCCACCCGAGAGATTTTGCCCTCGCTCTGAGTGCTCTCACACAGCCAGAGGCCCCCTCCCACACCCACCCACTCTGATCCCGTTACCACGGTGGCATCCTATGCATGAGCACAATAGACCACAATTCCCAAACTCTGGAACTCTCTCCCCCTATCCCTCTGCCTTGCCCATGTGGTGTGGGGGTCCTCAGTCCATGCGGCCCACCAGCTGTGTGATGAGTCTCTGCATGTCTTGCGATCTCTGCTTGGAGGTCTTCAGCACCTCCTCGTGATTTGCTCGCTGAGTGCTGGTGTAATCCAACACCACCTGGTTAGTGATGAGGGAGATGCCAAACACCCGCATACCACAGTGCCGCGCCAGGACCACCTCCGGTACCGTGCTCATCCCTACACACACACACACACACACACACAGAGAGCGTTAGCCTCACCACATAATCCCCAGCACAGCACACACAGGGAGGGGCTAAAGGGGGGGGAGGGGGTTTTGTGCGTGCTGTGTGTGTGTCTGTGTGCGTGTATGTGTGCATGTGTGTGTGCCTGTGTGTGTGTGCGCGTGTCTGTGTGCTGTGTGTGTGCTTGTGCTGTGTGTGAATGTGTATGCTGCGTGTGTGTGTATGTCTGTGTGCAGGTGTGACTGCGCGCGTGCTGTGTCTGTGTGTGTGATGTATGTGTTTGTGTGTGTGTGCTGTGTGTGTGTGTGCTCTGTGTGTGCGTGCTGTTTGTGTGTGCTGTGCGTGTTTGTGTGCTGTGTGTGTGCTCTGTGTGTGTGTGTGTGCTCTGTGTGTGTGTTAGCGTGTGTTTGTGTGTGCTGTGTGTGGGGGGGGGGGGGGTGCTGGAGACTTACCCACAGCGTCAGCTCCCAGGGCTATCAGCATGCGACACTCTGCGATGGTCTCGTATGACGGTCCGGCCACCATACAGTAGACCCCCTCCCGCACAAAGCTCTCAAACCCCAGCCCCCGGGCTTCCTCCAGGGCCAGGGCTCGCAGCCCAGAGTCATAGGCATCCGACATACAAGGGAACCGCTCCCCAAACCTGGGCGCAAACACACAGCGTCTCATACACACACAGTACAGACACACATACAGCACACATATACACACACATATACACAGCATTACACACACACACACCTTGTGTCAGAAACACAGTCTTACCCACACATACGCACACACACACAGCATTACACACACACAGTGTTACACACACGCACACATTACACATACACAGTGTTACACACACGCACACAACATTACACATACACAGTGTTACACACACGCACACAACATTACACATACACAGTGTTACACACACATCACACACACACACATACACACTGTCACACACACAGTGTCACCCCTCCCCCGTTCCCCCCTCCTCTGCTCACCGCTCCTCATTGGGGCCACACAGTGGGTTTTGTCCAGCGAAGCCGGGCAGATTGATATGGTCTTTGATGAACATGAGGTCCCCCACAGCCACATCTGAGCTCAGCCCCCCCGCCGCGTTGGTCACCACCAGACACTGCACCCCCAGCAGGTGGAACACACGGATCGGGAAAGTCACCTGTGGCGGAGGGTGAGAGGTGGGGGGCAGAGGGTGGGGCAGAGAGGGGAGAGAGGGGGGTAGAGACAGGGGTAGAGAGGGGGTAGAGAGAGGGAGAGAGGGGGGTAGAGAGAGGGAGACGGGGATAGAGAGGGGGAGAGGGAGCCACAGCGAGAGCCACAGAGAGAGAGAGCGAGACCCCCACAGCCAAGTTATAGTCTGAAATGTTCCGGGCATTTGCTCTTTGTGATGCAGAGAAAGTAGGTCACAGCCGCCTCCACCAAACGTTATTTATTTATGTAAAAAGCTTTTATTGAATTAATAGTGAATGGGTTAGTGAGAGAGGGGGAGAGAGAGAGAGCGAGAGGTGGGAGGGAGAGAGAGGATGATACAGGCCCCAAATCCCTTCTTGTCACAGCCTGGAACTCGTCTGGTCACAGACAGCTGTCTGTAGGACGTCGCTGTGTGCAAAATGGTGGCTGCATCCACCCTCCAAACCACACAGTCACTTGACTGTTCAGAGTCACTGGCAGCTCAGAGAAAAACTAAATGGTGCTGTGTCAAACACCAGGATTATTATTTATTATTATTACAGTAGAGAATTGTGTAGAATTGTTAAAGCCAGCCTTGGGCTCGGAGCTGCTTCACTGCAGTGAAACATTTTACACAATTTTTCCACGTCTTAAACTTGAAGACCTACGTGATCTCCCAGCTAAGACCAGGTGGAATTTCAGATCTCGGAGCAGTGAGAGCTCCCACTCTTCCCCCCCGCACCCCCTGCCATGTGCAAGGGCAGAGCTGTGAGGAACAGCTGAATAATGGAGAGACAACAACAACAAATTGCATTTATTTTACGTTTTTCATGGGAGGAAATCCCAAGACGCTGGATAATCTGGGATTTGGACCTGACCTGGGGTTTGGGCTCAGAAGGGGGTGGAGGGCAGGGAGGGGGAGGTAGGAGGGAGCCAAAAACGCAATCGAAGAGGAAGGTCTTGAGATGTGTCTTGAAGGTGGGAGGGAGGAAGCGAGACAAAGGGACTTTGGGATGGAGTTCCAGAGATGGAGGGCAGAGAAGCTGATGGTGAGATCTTTGATCGGACTGTATTTAATCACACAATAGCTTTCAGGCTCGGGGAGGGTAGTGGGGAGCGTGGCGAAAGTGGGGGGTACAAATTGTTTGTGAGCGTGGAGATTTATAGAATATTACAGCACAGAAGGAGGCCATTCGGCCCATCGTGCCTGTGCTGGCTCTTTGGAAGAGCGACCCAATCAGCCCCACTCCCCTGCTCTTGCCCCATATCTTTGCAAATTTTCCCTTTCCAAGTCTCTATCCAATTCCCTTTTGAAAGTCGTTATTGAATCTGTTTCCTCCAACGCTTTCAGGCCGTGCGTTCCAGACCCTAACAACTCTCTGTGTAAAAAAAAGAGATCTCCTCGTCTCCCCTCTGGTTCTTTTGTCAGTTATCTTAAATCTGTGTCCTCTGGTTACTGACCCACCTGCCAGTGGAAACAGTTTCTCCTGATCTACTCTATAAAACCCTCATAATCTTGAATAACTGTTAAATCTCCCCTTGACCTTCTCTGCTGTAAGGAGAACAATCCCAGCCTCTCCAGTCTCTCCACATCACTAGCATCCCTATTCCCTGGTACCATTCTGGTAAATCTCCTCTGCGCCCTCTCCAAGGCCTTGATATCCTTTCTAAAGTGTGGTGCCCAGAGTTGGACACAATATTCCAGCTGAATCCTAACCAGTAATTTGTAAAGGTTCAACATAACCTCTGCCCAATGGCCGGTTGTGATGGGACGTCCTATATTATCCACGGCCTCCGCTGCTCAATAAACTCGCTGCTGATTGTACCTTGTGCTGTGTTTGTGTTATACTCAAACTTTCATCCCCACCGGCCCCCCTCACCCCCACACAACACACGCACTCGCACACGCAATAGAAGTTCTACATGTGGACGTTGACTCTGTGTCTCCGGGTGACATTGACGAAAGGGAGCAAGTAAATACCAATACAAAATGACATTTTATCCCACGTTCCCTTCACATTGCCAAAGTCGCGGTGGGAGAGAAGGGTTTCGAAACATGCCTTGAATCAGGCAAGGGAGGGGGCAAGGTGAAGGGAATGTGTGATGGAGTTCCAAAGGGTGGGGCAGAGAGGCTGAAGGCCCGGGTGAGGGACGTGGAGCAGGCCGGAGCCCGCTGACCGTTTAGAGGGGACAGATCTGGTCAGCAGGTCACAGAGGTAGGGAGGAGCGAGGCCGTGGAAGGTTTTAATAAAAAAAAGGAGGGGGCCAAGGATGGAGCCCTGGAGTACCCTGCAGGTGACTGGGCAGGAGGAGAAACCGTTCATGGAGATGAAGTGGAGGTGGTTGGTTTAAGTAGGGCTCGAACAAGGTTAGTGCGGTCCCACTGAGATGGTTGAGGGAGAAAAGGCCGTGGAAGAGAATGATGTGGTCGACTGTGTTGAACACGGGAGAACCAAGGAGGCAGAGGGAGCCCTGGTCAGAGAGAGAGGACGTCGTTTGATAAGCAGTGAGGTGGCAGGACAGAAAGACTGGAGGGGCTCAAGTCGGGAGTGGAGGGCGAGGTGAGAGCGAAGCTGACTTGCAGGGGCTCTAATGACTTGTTTACACTGAGTGATTTCTCTTGTTAGTTGGTCAGTGACAGCAAAATGGTGGTGGATGGGTGTCGGGTGTGGGAGGGGGTTAATATTGCCTACTAGACCCTGGCTCCTGCTTTTCTTGCAAAATACCCGCTTTGAGACATCCTCCTCGTGACAAGGCATAGAGGTGAGGATTATTATTATTTCATTACAATTCAACATTTTGCTAAATTCTGGATGTTTGTAAAGCTGCACATTAATAGAGTGGAATCTACAGCGAGGGCTTCAGTGTGGAGCCTGTTCCCTGTCACACTGTCCGACAGCAAGTAACCCAAACCCCGGCAATGCTTCCCTCCAAGAATTCCCAATCCTCTCTTGGTGCCGGGGTCTGTCAGTGCCGGTGACGATCACACAGAACAGTCTGTCCTGTGAGCATTAACATACAGTATAATACCATCAATAATGTATCTGATACATTCTGTAAAACAGAGCTGAGAAACCAAGTGAACGAAAGTGTGTGGCCGGGACCCTAGTGTGTGTCTGAGGCTCTGGGGTCTCAGCACATGGTCTGTACAGAGCCTGACTCGCTGCAATTGCCCAAGTGGAATCCTGTTGTAACGACACTTATTAAAGTGCTTCCTGGGCAATTGACAACCGGCCATTCATTTTACATGAAGCCAGACCGCTGACAGCTAGCAATCTGGAATCCTCCCACTCAGCTCCTGTTAACCCCGCAGCCAAAGCTCTAACGGGTAGGTAGGGTGGTCCTAGCTGGACAAGCAGCGGGAAAGCTTGTCAGACAGCAATATCAATGGCAAGCTCTGCGGGTTTAGCTGGGTAACAATTACCCCAACACACACTCTGGAGTCCCTAACAGCAACGACAACAATTTAAGTAGGTGATCATTTTCCACATGTGTGGGCAAGAGAGTTAGCGCTGCAGTTATCATGGCCTGTGCAACTCTCACTCTGTGTCCTGGGCAAACATCAGCTACTGTCTACACTGGGCGGAGAGAGAGAAAGACAGAGAAAAAGAAAATGGGAAAAGAGAGAGGGAGAAAGAGAGAGAAAATAGAGCAAGAGAGAGATAACAAAGACAAAATGGAAGTTTGGATGAAGAAGACCCTTTGGCCCATCTGATCTCATTCAGAATACCCACCCTACACACACCCTACACACACCCTACACACACCCTACACACACCCTATACACACCGTACCATTCCCCCCATGACAGCATTGAGCTGCTTTTTAAATGCATCCCAGTGTCCTGGGCTGAACCACCCTTCCTGGTAACAAAATACTGCAGATGCTGGAAATCTGAAACAAAAACAGGAGCGACTGGGAACACTCAGCAGGTCAGGCAGCATCTATGGAGAGAGGCAAGTGAGTCAATGTTTCGGGTCCACAACCCTTCGTCAGAACTGGGAGGGAGAGGCTTTTAAGGGCTGGTGATGATGGGGATGATGGGTTAAAGAGGTGTTAATGATACAAAACAAAGGGGAGGGATTGCAACAGAATAGGCCGACCAGAGAGAGAAAAGCTGTGTCTGGGACCCAGGTGATGTGGTAATGGTCACAGAAGAGTGGGAGAGGGAAGGTGAGCTGTTATGAGCCTCCTGGTAACCCTGTTTCAGTTGTTAATCCCCGTCTGGGTAAACAAACACTTCCTGGTGTCTGTCCTGAAATTGCTCTTTACACCGCTAAAGTCTTTTTCTGCTGTCTAGTACATCCAACATATTGTTCTGGGTTTATTTCTCAATCCAATTGTATACCTGTGTCAGAACAAGATAGATAGTGAGAACGAGAACCTTTCTCACCGTCTTCACTTTGTCTCGACGAATGGCTTCTCCTCCACCCCCCGTACTGTCTCATGTGGTGTCCCTCAGGGCTCTGTCCTCGGTCCCCTCCTCTTCACCCTCTATATGCTCCCCCTGTGGTGACATCATCCGCAGACATGGGGTTAACTCCCACATGTACGCGGATGACACCCAACTCTACCTTTCCTCCTCTACTCTCAACTCCACGACCCCCGATGTCCTGACAGCTGTCTGTCCGACATCGAGTCCTGGACGAGAGACAACTTTCTTCAGCTCAACGTGCGAAAAACCGAGGCCCTCCTGATTGGCTCACGTCAGCGCCTCCGCACCTCAGGCGCTGACAGCATCAGCTCCGCACTCTCCACCTCTCAAAGCCATCAGGAACCTCGGGGTTCTGTTCGACCCTGAGCTGTCCTTTCTCCCTCACATCCACATCACAACTGGCACCGCCTTCCATCACCTCCGGAACATCGCCAGACTACGGCATTACCTCACCCCTCACGCTGCTGAAACCCTGGTTCACGCCTTTATCACCTCAAGGCTGGACTATGGGAACTCTCTCCTCGTCGGCCTTCCCGGCCCTCCCTCCACACTGCAGGTCATTCAGAACTCTGCAGCTCGTGTACTGTCCCGCACCAGACACCGCGACCACATCACTCCCACCCTCACCCTCACCCTCACCCTCGCTCGCCTCCACTGGCTCCCCATCCCCCAGAGGATTGATTTCAAGATCCTCATCCTCACCTACAAGGCCATTCACGGCCTCGCTCCCTCCTACCTCTCCGACCTACTATCCCCCTACCTACCTGCCCGTACCCTCCGTTCCTCTGGCTCCGGTCTGCTCCACGTCCCCCGCCCCAACCGCCCTACCATCGCTCCCTCCCTTCCCTGCCCTCACCCTGACCATTTCCCCCTTCCTCGCTCCCTCCCTTCCCTCACCCTGACCATTTCCCCCCTCCTCGCTCCCTCCCTTCCCTCCCCTCACCCTGACCATTTCCCCCCTGCTCGGGTCATGACCCAACTGTGCAGCGCCTTGGAACGTCCTCCTGACGTGAAAGGCGCTTTATAAATGGAATCTTGTTGTTTTTGTTGTTGAGAGAGTTACAGAAAGAATGAGAGGGAGATGTAAAGAGAGATAAAAGAGAACAAGAAAGATAGAGAGGACTGGGGGATGGAGAGAGAAAGGGAGCTAGATACAGAGAGATAAAGGCAGAGAGAAAGATAAGGTGAAACAGAGCCGCGGATAGAAAGGCGCGGAAAGAGAAAGAAATGGAGAAGATTGTGTCTGTGTCTGGAGCTGAGAGGAAGCAGAAATAGTCTGGAGGTGCCGGTTTGGATGGGGGGAGGTGGGGGTGAAGGAAGAGAATTGGCAGAGACACAAATTAGTTAACGTGTTTAAGTGTTCCGAGATGCTGTTGGGCGTGAAGGGCGCTATATATATAAATGCAGGTGTTGTTGTTGATGTTAAAGTGCTGGATTGTCAGCTCACATCCTGGGGCCCAAACCCACCAGCTGGATCAGAGGCCACATTGTCGAGGGTTAAACTGAAGCCCCATCATTGTCACAACCTTCTGAAACAGAGATGAGAGTGATGATCTGAGATGGACTGAGAGAGACTGAGACGGGCAGGCAAGAGTGAGACGGACAGGGAGAGACTGAGACGGGCAGGCAGAGACCGAGAGAGACTGAGACGGGCAGGCAGAGACTGAGAGAGATTGAGACGACAGGGAGAGACTGAGAGAGACTGAGACGGGCAGGCAGAGACCGAGAGAGATTGAGACGACAGGGAGAGACTGAGAGAGACTGAGACGGGCAGGCAGAGACTGAGAGAGATTGAGACGACAGGGAGAGACTGAGAGAGACTGAGACGGGCAGGCAGAGACCGAGAGAGATTGAGACGACAGGGAGAGACTGAGAGAGACTGAGACGGGCAGGCAGAGACTGAGAGAGACTGAGACGGGCAGGCAGAGACTGAGAGAGATTGAGACGACAGGGAGAGACTGAGAGAGACTGAGACGGGCAGGCAGAGACTGAGAGAGACTGAGACGGGCAGGCAGAGACTGAGAGAGACTGAGACGGGCAGGCAGAGACTGAGAGAGATTGAGACGACAGGGAGAGACTGAGAGAGACTGAGACGGGCAGGCAGAGACTGAGAGAGATTGAGATGACAGGGAGAGACTGAGAGAGACTGAGACGGGCAGGGAGAGACCGAGAGAGACTGAGACGAACAGGGAGAGACTGAGAGAGACTGAGACGGGCAGGCGGAGACTGAGAGAGACTGGGACGGGCAGGCAGAGACTGAGAGAGATTGAGATGACAGGGAGAGACTGAGAGAGACTGAGACGGGCAGGGAGAGACGGAGAGAGTCTGAGACGAACAGGGAGAGACTGAGACGGGCAGGGAGAGACGGAGAGAGTCTGAAACAAAAACAGAAGCCACTGGGAACACTCAGCAGGTCAGGCAGCATCTATGGAGAAAGGAAAGTGAGTCAATGTTTTGGGTCCACGACCCTTCGTCAGAACTGAGGCATGTTGGGAGGGAGAGGCTTTTAAGAGCTAACAGAGAGGGGGAAGACAGGGCAAGGAAGACGAAGGAGAACATGCGGTAGAGGGCAGGGGATGATGGGTTAAAGAGATGTTTAATGATCCAAAACAAAGGGGAAGGATTGCAACAAAGCAGAGGAATAGAGGGGTTAATACTGCGGAACAAAAGGGGGGGAAATTGCAACAAAACAGGCCGACCAGAGAGAGAAAAGGTGTGTCTGGGACCCAGATGATGTGGTAGTGGTCACAGAAGAGGGGGAGGGGGAAGGTGAGCTGTTATGGTCTGAAATTGTGGACATCAATATTGAGGCCAGAGAGCTGTAAGGTCCCGAGCAGATAGATCAGGTGCTGTTCCTCGAGCTTGTGCTGTGGGTCACTGGAACAGCGTAGGAGACCGTGGATGGAGAGGTCAGAGTATGAGTGGGAGGGAGAGCTGAAATGTCAGTCTGAAGTCTGAGATGGCCAGAGAAGGACTGAGGTCTCTGATGGCAATAATGGCATAGAGTGAGAAGCCACATGTCATTTTCCCAGCTTGTTTGGGAGCAGGTCTGAGCTAGGTATTGGCAGGATGTCCCCTCCCTTCCCGCCCACCCCAGATTCCAGAGACTGAGCCACACGCCAGGGCTGACACAGTCTCAATGCCAAGCACAATAGTACTCATTAAGCTTCCAAAAATCTATTGCTCTCAGGGTCGTGGTTTGGAGGTTCTGTGCTTTAAAATGGAAATATTGATTTTTTTAAGTTTCTCTCTGATGTGTTGGCTGCCTCTGACTGGTACCCACAGCTGCCACCCTGACCACTCGGTCACACAATTACCAGCCACTGCTCACTGCTCACTGCCAAGCCCTGGTGCAGGAGGCCTTCCTGTCAATGCTTTATCGTTCCTCAACCACACCAACTGCACCAGGGATGGGTTTATTTAACAATCAGAATTCAGTATCTGAGCCTCTTGGCCGAGCACAGAGAACAGTCCAGCCAGAGCTGAATCATACCCAGGAGAGATCAGGCTGGTAAGATCAGGCTGTGCTGAAATGCAAGTATAAAAATAAACAAGAATAATAATCTTACAGCTGATACACGCCCAGGCTGTGCTCAAATTGTCTACAAATACACAGTCACTACACCTCATTTCTCCTTTCTCCTGGTGTCCTGGCCAAATTCCCTCCACATAAATGGGTCGTTCGCGTCATCTATTTCGGACATCAATGTGTGGGACATGGCTGTGTGCAACCCATGCTCCCTGTAAATACAGTCACTACACTGTATAGTTATACCCTGTGAGGTGCTTTGGGATGTTTCAACAACAAAATGACATGTGTAAAGCGCCTTTCACGTTGGGAGGATGTCCCAAGGAGTTGGACAATCAGGTTTCGGACATGAGCTGGGGGTCGGGATTGGGGAGGATGGAGGGCAAAGGAGAAAGGAGGGTGATCGAAGGCATGATCAAAGAGGAGGGTCTTGCGAGGGGTCTTGAAGGAAGAAGGGAGGGGGAGTTCCAGAGGGTGGGAGCACAAAAGGCCCGTCTGCCAATGGTGGGGCGGGCGAGGTGGAGGATGTGAAGCAGGCCGGAGCCACTGAGCGGAGGGAGCAAACAGGTTTCAGTGTTAAAGGGAGAAATTCCAATTTGTTGCAGTGTGTGGGGAGCGGGGTGGGGGGGTGTTTGGGGTGGGAGGCAGGCAAACAGGACTGAAGGGATTGTTCTCTCAAAGACCAGCACAGACTCGATGGGCCGAATGGCCTCCTTCTGTGTGAAATTCTTGTCCAAATTGCTTCTATTTATACTCCATTCCAGAATTTGGCAACTGGTTGAATGACAATGAACAGTGAAAATCTGCAGAGGCTTCTGCAAAGTTTGTAAGAAACCAACATAATAAACTGGCTTCACTGTGAAGCCTGAATTCAAAGATTTGCCAAATTCTGACAATCTGCTCTGATACACGACATAAAACGAGGCAATCCACACCCAGATGGGATTTCTCTCCCAAACAGGGAAACATGCCAAAGCTCTACTCAGGGGGTGTCTGTGAGCTGTAGTGACTGTGTATTTGTAGACAATTTGAGCACAGCCTGACCATGTATCAACTGTAAGATTATTATTCTGGTTTATTTTTATACTTGCATTTCAGCACAGCCTGATCTTACCATAAAACAGGTTGTGAAGCAGCAACTACCGAGAAATATTCCTTCAGGACTTCAAACATCCTGCCAGTTAATCTCTTTGATCAGCTGGGTGTCTGACACACGGAAATCCATCACCGTGATCAGCCAGGTGTCTGACACACATGGAAACCCATCACTGTGTTTAAAGTACCCAAATCAGAGAGCTCCATGTTTGCTGCCTGCACATGGATTTGCTACCACCTGTGCTGGGAATGGAATGCTCTCTCTCTCTCTCTCTCCCTCCCTGGAGGGACACATCCTGCTTATCTAATTCCAGAAAGGATGAGGCGCAGGTTGGCAATAGCCAAGGCTTGAGGAACCCAGAGTGTGCGTTGAGGTAACTGTTCGAGTCTAACACCTTTGATATCGCTGTCTGGCCCAGCTTTCCGCTGGTTGTCCAGCTAGGACCACCCTCCCCATTAGGGCTTTGGCTGCAGGGTTAGGAGCTGAGGGGGAGGATTCCCTGCCTGAGGCAAGTTTCCTTACTCCACAGGCCTTTGTTTACCTGAAAATAAGTAGGAACCCGATTGTTAATTGATTGTTGGATTGCTTTCCAGGATTAATAATCCCTCCAAAAAATATTTGATCACTCGATCCACGGCTGTTTGTGGGATGTTGTTGGGCCCAAATTGGCTGCTGCAGTTTTGCCGACCGAAAAATCATTCACAGGCGGTGATCAGTGTCAACTGTGAGATGCTCCACGTTATAACATGGAATACTGTTCCTGTTTGGGGAGCGCGAGAGCTAGAGCCAGTTTGATGATATGGTGTAAGAACAGGAAACACCTGACACTTCAGGTTTTTTATTGGGCACCTCCTGTTCCACATATATATCAATGACCTGGGTTCACAGCCCCAGTGTAAGAGAATTACATTTACAGTTGGAAGGAGCTGTATAACCAGAGGAGACAGCAGAGTGCCCCCAATAGTGTAGCTCTCTCAAACCGGTACTCTGTACTGAACATTGAGAGTGCTGATATCTCCAGGGAGGACAGTATAAACCGAATGGTTGAACAGCGGGACATAGGTAACAGGAGCAATGTCATAGGGGATACAACAGTGAGAGGTATAGACAGACGTTTCTGTAACAGAAGACTGGAGTCAAGGATGGTATCCCTGGTGCAACAGTCTTAGACATCACGGAACGGGTGGATAAAATTCTTCAGGGGGAAGAGGAACATCCAGAAGTGGTGATCCAGGTTGGGATCCATGATATTGGTAAAAAAAAGGGCTGAGATCCAAAATATCAAAAGCTGGGGGACAAACTAAAGAATAGAACATCCAAGGTGGTGATCTCTGGATTACTCCCTGTGCCTCGGGCAAATAACTACCATAATGGCAGGATCAAGCATATGAATGCTTGGCTGGAGTAATGGTGCAGAAAAGAGGGCTTCAGATTTCTGGATCATTGGGACCAGTTCTGGGGCAGGTGGGACTTGTACCATATGGATGGGTTGCACCTAAACAGCGCTGGGGCGAATGTACTTGCAGACAGGATAACTAATGCTGTTGGAGAGGGTTTAAACTAGTTTTGAGGGGGGAAGGGAATGCAAAAAACGAAGAGCTAGAAAATAGAGAAATAAAATGGGGGAAGTGCTGAACAGGTCAAGTCGGTCTTGGAGTCCATGTGCCTAAATGCACGGAGTTTAGCAAACAAGATTGGTGAGCTGCAGCTCAAGTGGTCACGGGGATACGATGTAGTAGCAGTAACAGAGACTTGGCTCAAACAAGGACAGGAATGGGAGCTGAATATTCCTGGGGACAATGTATTCAGGAGGGATAGGGAAAGAAAAAAAGGAGGGGCTGTGGCAATGTTAATCAAGGACAC